GCTCTCGTTATCCACAAACGCTATCATCTTTTTTTCTCTGCTGCATTATTCCACCTAAATAAATACATAAGGAGCAGAGCAATGCATAATACTGAATAACATACCCAGATCAGTTCAAGTGTCTGCAAGCATAAGGTCACTTATGTTACATGAAGTGCCATTGAACAGACACAAACTTCCACAATAAAAGGCAACTCACAAAGTGGAATAAATTCTAGCAACTAACTAATCTTACTAAAGAAAAATGGTAAGGTGATCCTGAAACAAATCAGGGCAAATCTCTACTCCTACGCTGTTTCTGCTATCAAGGTCCAAAATAATCACACCATCTTACTTCACTGTAGCATTGGGTTCGACTAGAGAGTTGTGCAGAAATACTTGGGGCAAAAGATAACACTGGGATATAGGTTATAAACATTAGAATTTTATTAGTGGCTGAGGGGGGAACAGGGAGCAACCATGTAAAATTGACACAGCTGCACAGAGGCCCAGAGAACCTACAAACTAAGCAGAACACATTGATTTTGCTAGTTTGGATTAAAAGTGTGGGGAAATCTGTCCACAACATCCCAAGGATCTCTGAAGGTGGTGAGGGTCACCTAAAATTGTTGCTTATTTAAGTTTTTATTAACCTCTTGAGAGCAATTTCTTTTTCTCTTTTCAAAGTATTCCATATGAAACACTCCTGAAAACATGAAGTATATATTTAAATACATATATAGAGACATACACGTTATATTATTAGAGTCCTTTGCAAGGACCTAAAAATAGAAATGTCCATAACGTATAAGGCAATGATAAGAGCCTGGGATGTAAAGCATGCTTTAAGGTATGTGCATTGCTGCCACAGAATTGCTATACACCAAATCAACACAGAGAAATCAGACAAGCCTATCACCTTCATCTTCAGGGAATTCAAGTGTTTGCTTTCAGTTATTCTAAATCTAACAAATAAAAACCAAACCACAGCAGTGGAAACTCTGCTCCTGAACCCATCTTGTCATTCTGCTGAGTAGCTTCTAGAACTAGGAGCTGATGCCAGAACAAGCAAATGCCACATATCAGTATTAGCTGCAGTTTCTGTTATCTTAAAAAAAAATTATAAAATACATACTTAATTACCCAGGATTGTTTGTTGCTTCATATTATACATAGCTGCATGGTTTATTAAGCAGAGTATCCACATGGTTACTTTCAGTATATCACTATTATAAACTGTCACCACTAGAAAAACAAATAAAGAATGTTTCTTATACAGTTGGTGTTGCAGTTGGCTTTTTGTCTGTTATCCGCTAACAAACACCACAATTTGCTTGTAAACAAAAGATTCTTCAGATCAAACGCAGAAAGTATGTCACTGGAGAAGCCCTGTGTTTTAACCTCTAAGCTCAAGGAAAACCATCCTTTCCCAATTAAAAGCACCACAAAGATCTGCTCAAAGCCACACTACCTGGGACCTCCAGGGAATACTCGTGCTCAGGAACACATTTTAACACAGACGACGTGTTCCTCGTGTACTTGCTCAACAGCACCGTCATTTTTCATCCAGAGCAGAGCACAGATTTAACATCAGCAGCAGCATTTCCGAAAGGCAACTCATCTCTCCCAACACTCTTACAAACTCCACAATAAATCACATTTAATTAGTTTGTGCCTTTTTTTCCCCTGGCTGTCTGGAATCCAACAGAGAGGAGGCTTCCAACTTTAATTTTGCAAAGAGATGCTTGGAATAAACTGATAAAAAACACAAACCACCACATCCTCACTGAAAGCTGTTGGAGTTATCTACTCACTGACACACCAGCATTCCTGCCTGTAGATGGCCTGTTACCGTTGTGTATCCAGCGGCTCCTATTTCCACTGCCTTGTTTGAAGAACTTCCCTCTTCCCACATACCTTCCATCTCCAGGGACAGATCACACAGGGACACTAAACCTTGGCCGTAAACAACACGAGTTCTGATATTCCCGTTTCCAAAGGATCCGCCAGCACTCAACGCCGCTGTTCAGCAGCACAGAGGCGATCACCGAGGCACAAATCCTCTGGGCAACACTTGAGAAACTCCTTGCCTTGCTGGTGTTTTGCACAGCTGAGATTTACACAGGGCTCTGCTGGCTGCCTCTGCTATTTATTTTATTTGCTGTACGCTAAAGGCTACTGCAAACAAATGGGACTTCGATAACTTGCGGCATGTAGCACAAAACCGTCCCAGTGCGCTGGGACACTGTTTCCAGGCTTAACACCCGTTAAGCACATCCTTGGTGGAGAGATGGGATGCTCTCCCAGGGTGTCCCAAACTGCCCCTCATGCTGCTCACAGAGATGACTCCATCTTCCCTCATGTCCTTTCTTTTGAGGGGAGTGGCAGACTACACTGAGAAAAGCACTGTGGAGAATAATTTGTTTTATTCAGCTGTGTTTGGGCTCTGGGCCTTTTATGTAATTATATGTATTTAGTAGGAATTAAGATCCTCACACTACAAATATTTATTCATACTGTAAACTTGGGTTCTGCACTAGCACTCAGCAGACTGACAACCTACGTTTTTGAGGGAAAAAGACAATCATACTCATTAGAAAGTTCATGAATACAACCACACACATGTAGAAGTTTGCTGCATCATCTGTATATGTTTTCTCGCACAGATTTATGAACTGCCCAAGTCTGACTGCCCTTAACTGCTTCTCTCTCTCAAAGGACTTAAAAAAAAAAAATCCACAAAGTGAAGAGAAAAACCCATAAATTCTCTGCTCAGAAAAAGGTATAATAATCTTCTTTCAGGTCACTAAATACCACACACAGAAAAAAAAAAAAGGCATTAGGATAAACGCACTTCAGATTGGAAGTTACAGACTTTTCCAAGAGTAAAGATAAAATCCTTGCAGTATGGAGTTGGAGCTCCAAGCTTCTTTCCTATAGCAGAATATCAGCTTATTTTGGCTGCTAACTTCCTACATTTCTTATCCTTTGGCCAACTATAGGCTATCAGTATGAAAAACCCCTCTCACTGCTGCCCCAGCAGTGACCTTAAACCCAAACCAGATGAGCCCCAACGGCTGAGAAATAAAATAAAAAAAAAATTAAAATTTAAAAATTGTAAAATACATTAACTTATACACAGACTTATCCCTGAGCTACATTTACAAGCATAAAGTAGCTAAAAGATACTGAACTGGGAAGAACAATACATGGCACTTCTGGGGCAGCAGACGTTTCTGCCACAGCAGGGTCCCGATACAACCACAAATCACAACTGCTTTAAAACTAACGAGAGGGAACCACAAAGTGCTGAAGATTAAGAGAAAAGCACTAACAGACCGCTTCTGTGCGAGACCCGAAATGACCCCGGGAACACTGCCAAGAATGATTTTCTTACTGGTAGCACCAGCAGCATATTCTCTTACAGCTGAGAAAGACACACAGGTGGTAGGTGGGCGAGACCAGCAGTGGACGGGGCAAGAGGAGCAAGATGCCTCCACCCAGGAGGCAGTCCATTGCCCATTCCTGAGGTTTATGGAAGTGATGCCCTTATGTGGATTTCCAGCCAAGCACACATTGTGTCATCCACGTCCAGACCAGCCGCTCCCCATCGGAATGGAGCTGAGCCCCACACCAGGACAGGCATCGAGGCACTGCCAGGCCTGGCAGCCTCAACCATTTTTAAGCAAGCTCTGCTGCAAAAAAGGTCGAGAAACAGTTCTACACTTGAAAAATCCGTGTAAGTTTGAAATCCCATTACCTAGCACATTGTTAAACTCGAGTTAGACTGGTTTGGCACCTTTCAGGAACGTACTAGCTGAGCCCCGGGTTCCACAGGGTAAGCGGTTAGGGGATACAGTAGATGTGGTCAGGGCACAGGGAACTGGGATACGTGAATCCTCTTCTCACAAATCTAGCACGGAGTTCAAACAGCAAATAGAAAAAACCCAAACCGAACAAAAAAAACAGCCGACAAGAAACTCCAATCTCTCCCTTAGTTCCCCAGTCCGTGATAGGGTAACTACCACTTTAAGGAGTCAGGCCAATACTTTTAGATACTCAAAGGACACAAAGAAATGCAAATGAAATACAAAATTACTAATATGGAGAGAGGCAGGCTTGTCCCGCGCCTTCTATTCTACAAATATAGATGGGATAAATGGTTCGTTACATTTAACTCCAAGCCGCACTACCTTCGCCAAAACCTTATTTAAATAGAACATTTCTGAGAACCGGGAAAGGGGGGAGGGATGCAGCTGTGGTCTTAACCTAAGAGAGGTTAAGCTTTTAAAAGAGTTGTTCTTTTTTCGCTCCGTCTGCTGGTCGCATGCCATTTTAAAAAGGTGTCTGGCAAGCAAAATAAAAAGTTTCCAGGGCTTTCCTTCCCAAAGCCGCCTCTGCCAGGAGCCGGGCGGGGAAGGACGGGGCCGGGAAAAAAGACGGTCGCGCCTTTCTCCGGCTTTTTCCTCCAACGTACCCGCTGGATCCAGGCATTCTGCAGGCGGAGGAGCCCCCCAGTTCCTCCACCTGCCCGCACCCCGGGCCGGGCAGTGGGGCCGCCGAGCGGGGCGCGGCTGCGGGGGAGCGACGGGCACACACCGCACACACCCGCGGTGCCGCCGGGCCCCGCCAGCACCGGCCGCTCCCGCACCGACCCCGCGGGAACCGCACGGGCGGGGAGGGAGGCCGGCGGCGATGACAGCGGCGGGGCCGGCAGCCCCCCGGGACAGCCGGGCGGTGCTGGAGCGCCCGTCCCGCCGCCAGCCCCGAGCGGGGCGCGCCGGGGCCGCTCCCTCCCGCCCGCCCGCCGGGCGCTCCCCAAGGCGGGGGGAGCCGGAGGGGGCGCGCACAGAAACTTTCCGCCGAGCGCGGCCGCGGTCCCGCCGCCGAACAAAAGAGCCGGGACCGGCAGCGGCGCCGCGGGGCGGAGGGAGCCGCTCCTGGGGGCTCCGAGCCGAGCGGAGCTGCGGGGCTCCCCCCGCCCAGGACCGGCTTCCCCCGCAGCGCCGCCGCGTCCTTACCTGCGGGAGGGCGGTGCGGGGCGCCGGGCGGCGAGTCCCGGTTAGCTGGAGCGAGTGCCGGGAGGGCTCGGCGGGGATTCCGCCATGTCAGTGATGTCGGCACCACATGGGGCCCCGGCCGGCCCACGCTACCGCGCACTCTGGAGTAGCGGCTCCCGCCGAAAAGGCGGCCGAGGCGGGCGTGGGGCGCCGGCCCGCCCGCTCCCGCCCCCGGCCCGCGCCCGCCCCGCCCCGGGACGGCCCCGCCGCCGCCGCCCGCCGGGGGCGGGGGAGACGGGAGGGGCGGGCACGGCCCGCTCCGCTCGCCCCGCTCCAGTCCTGCCCCGTCCGCCGTGAGTCCCTCCCGGTTCGCTCATCGGTACTTAAAATCGTAGAATAATGGAATCACCGAGTCATAGGAGAGGTTGGAAGAGACCTTCGAGATCGTCCAGTCCAGCCGCCAATCCCGCACTACCGTCGTAACCCCTAAACCACCTCACCCAGACGCCTCTTCAACACCTCCAGGGATGGTGACTCCACCACCTCCCCGGACAACCTATTCCAAGCCTGACCACCCTAACAGTGAAAATTTTTTTTCCTAATAACTAATCTGAATCTCCCCAGTCTCAGCTTTGGACCATTTCTTCTGGTCCTCTCACTGCAGGCATGGCAGAAGAGATTGGCCGTCACCTCACTACACCCTCCTTTCAGATAGTTGTGGAGACCAATGACATCCCCTCTGAGCCTCCTCTTCTCAAGACTGAACAAACCCAGCTCTCTCAGCCACTCCTCCTAAGACATGTTTTCTAGACCTTTCAGTTACTACCAAATATCTCCCCTAGGCCATACATCATCCACCCAGCCTCCTCCTGCCCACCCAGCAGCCCCCACCACCCTGGCAGGGGTGGGTGGTTGTGATGGACATTGTACCAGTCATCACCAAAATGCCATTTTTGCAGGGGAAGCCCCTCACTCAAGCAGTTTCAGGCTGGGGTCAGCGTGCCAGAAGATCAGGGCTTCTCCATGTGTCCCCTCTTTGGCCTCTGCTGTAAGTTGCCCATGCTCCCACCACTGTGGTCATTCCTATGTTCCCATCAGTTGGGATTGAGGAGAAGAAGCTCTAGGCAATGTTTTCCGAGGCTAAAGAAGTGCTCTGACTTATTAAATTGTGCAGCTCTAAAGAAGAGGAGTTTATCCCCTGCCTCTGGAAGAGAGCTCTGAAGAGCCATGGTGGTCATTCACCTCTCAGCACTGCATCCAAGCCATGTGGGAATCATGACTGGAGCTTTAATCTGGTTACAGGAAAAGCTTAAAATAGGACTCAGCCTCACTCCCACCACAGATCACAGCCACTCTTTGAAGGGCCTTTTGATTTGGCCTTGGTCCTTTGGGTAGCCAGCCTTCCTCTGCAGGAGTTCATTGCCCACACGTCCTGTGCTCTGCCTTCTCTCCATTTCTGTATTCTTCAGTGTTATTTTTTCTGACAGCTGTTATCAGTGATTGATCCACTTTATCCACCAGAGCAAGGTTTCCTTTCAGAAACTGGAAAACCCTTGGGAGTCTGAGGCAGCCCAGGTGTATTTTCATCAGCTTCCATTATAATATCAATAGAAACATTTTCCCCATAGGACTCCTTGATGTTCTACTTCTTGTTGAAACACTTTTTGGCATAAAAGCTTAGTAAAACCAAAGCATCGTGGCCAACTAGGCTGGGTTTGGGTTTTTTTTCCTACGTGACCAAAACACAGAAAAATGAAAATAAAGTTATCTGAAATAGATAATTCCTACGAAAATAACAAATAGGCATTTTCTCATGGGAAAGATTTTTCAAAGTGAAATGGTTGGCCAGCACTAAGTATTGTTTGTCGTTAATTGCAAAAACTTTTGTAATGCATAAAATCTAAAAGTAGAAAAATGTTTTGTTTTATTAGTGACCCAAAACATGCAGACTTTTTGATGGTCCTGGATGGAGTTACAGAGCAGACGAGATTAATTATTCACTAGGGTGGTAAAGCCTTTACTTGGTCTTGTAGACTGTTTTGTGGGGAGAAAAAAAGAAAAAAGAAGATAGAGAAAAGGGTCAGTGAAGGCATTGCTTTAGGAAGGAAAAAAATCACTGACCCAAGCAGGAGAATGGCAAAAAAAAAAAAAATTAAATTGAGGAATAAACAAGATCAAACGCAGAGAACAAAATTAAGAGAAATAAAGAAGAGGAAGGAAGTGGAACCACAGAACTGATTTGTATCTTTTCTATCCAATGGGCCAAAGGCTGTGTCCTCATTTGGAGAGTCAAAACAGAAGCCCCAGGCGTGAGAACATTTCCAGGCTCACCTGGAATTGCAGAAGTGGGCAGACTCACAAAAACTAGCACAAGGCCATCCTGGGCCTGGATCAAATGCTGTCTTCTCCTTAGAGCTCCTTCTATTCAGCCCTGCTGCCCTGATAAACTGGGAGAGCAGATGGTGAACAGCAACCATAAACTGATTCAATGGAGATTGGGCATGGCCAGGAACCCAGGGAGAGGGCAAGGGAGAGTGAAGCAAGGATTGCTTTTCATCAGAGAGTTCCTACATAAATAACAGTTAAAACTATTTCTTTAATGGTTTACTCCCTGAGCCACCTCATCTAGGAAGAGCATTAATCAGACAGGAGGAAATGTCTTTTGCCTCTGAAAAAGGAAAAGGATTAGGTTAAGTGGTGACACAGCAGGGACAGACAAATCACACTGGAGAAAATTACTGACCTAAACTATAATCCAAAAAAATACAGACCAAAGCCATGAACTAACTTTTCTGTTTTGATCAGTCTGGGTTTTTTTCCAATAACACACATATTTATCTTTTATCACAGTGAGATCTCTCTGTTTATTCAGGAAGCAAGTGGTGTCAGAAACGCAGTAGCGCGTCTCTTCCATCTCCCTTCTCACGTGTGCCTGTTGCAGAGGAGCAGGATGAAGGGACAGTGCTGTATCCTTCTTTGGTCTTTCTCTTGGATCCTGGTCCCCAGGACAGTCATTCCCAAATGCAGACAGAACCTCCTAACTTCTTTCAAGTAAGAATTGTTTAGCCATCACATAGTAACAATTTTGGCACTGTTGACTGGGGCTGGATCCAAACCAATTCTAAACCCTGTATTCTGCCATCCCCTCCTATTTGGTGACAAATGCCAGAGAGGGGCCCATGGACCCTCTCTACGTACAATCAAGATGTGGCCTTGAGGGTCAGACATCATTGCAAAGGCTCTGAAGACAGTCTTTATTCTGTTGGAATACTTTCCTTCACATTTCTGATGGGATTTGAGTTAAGCTGTTACTATTCCCACAAGCTGCATCTTCTGTATCCTGGAGGACAGGCAGGCAGAGATCTTGGCATTAGTGCTGTTTGACAGCATACAGAGCATGCTTTGATTTGTTTATTTGCTGAATACTGTGTTGTTTTTTACCTGGGGTATACTGCCCTCAGCCAGTTTTAATACTACATAGCACCAGTATGTAGGGTGGATGGTTCCACTCAAACAGTGGCTGGACTGTAGGTGCAGGGGTTTTCTCCCCATGTGCATTATTACACCTCTGAGCAGCTGTGAGGTGGGCTGGCTCAGGGCTCCGTGTCTCAACAGGCTCCATTCACCCCTAGCAAGAGCTCCAGGTTCACAGTCTCACTTTCAGGGCCAGCAGCAACTTGGATGGAGAAAGGCAGAACTACTCAGCAAAATTGCCTTAGGTGACCCCTCATGAGGCTGAGAGCGTGCCCTGAAGCATCCCTTACTTGGACCTCACCCTGCCAGCTGAGACGTGGGATGGGCAGGACGCTCAAAGCAAACAAGTGGAAGATCTCCTTACAAAAATATCCAGAACAAAATGATGTAGCACCTCTCCTCCCTCCCCCTTGTGATGAAACAACTTATTCCTTCACAGAATAAAGACAAGACCATATCATTTGTTCTTCATTGTTAACAAAGGGGGGCCCTTGTCTGTATGCCTCACAAACCAATAAAGTTAGTGCAATTTAAACAACTGAGTACTCAAAATCACACAGTACTATCTGGTCATGGTATTCTTCTCTCACTCTTTTATATGAAAAAAAATGAAAGCTAAAGGCAAATTAGATTGTACAGATTAAAACATATTGAGCTCCTCCAATCCTTATAATGTTTTATTTTCAAGATAGTGCTGGTGGAGACCGGCACAAGCAAGAAAATCTGGGTAAGTGTATGCAGTTCATAACAGTCACTTTTACTGCAGAGAATCCAAAATTCTGCAGGACACTCTTTTTAAATAAGTAGGGCATGTAAACATTAGCATGAACCAGGATTTCTATCTGTACCTCTCTATTTAGAAGAAATGAATGCCAGTTATTCACTCAGCGTATATTCACGGTTTTGCATTCATAACCTGACTGAGTTTGGTAGGGAGTTTGTATTCGTGGTATTAATTAGCAGATTTTTCCCTTTTTAGGGCAATACAGATCAGTATTTTTTCATGCTTGAAAACGTGAAGAAATTAAGCCCCCAAAAGATTATTCTTGGCATAAGATTAAAGGAATAACCTCTGTATAATTCTGAAATAAAAATTCTCTGCCTCTTGTGTTAGTGCAGTGCATGGTATTTTTGCATTGCACATCAGTGCAATAAAACCAGCTACCTATTGGACATTGGTTTATTATATTTAATGGGCAAGGCTTTAATTTGGCCTTTGAATCTCTCAGAGATTCTACTAAGCAGTAAAGAGAGGTACTACTAGGCAACAAATATGTCCAATCTCTACTAGAAGTCACAAAAGACCAGAGAGAGAATTTCACCAGCAGCTAGAAGAGGCCCTCTAAATGACAGTGCCATTATTCTAAAGACGTGATTTCTGACACACCAGAAGTTGTTGTTTGTCATGGATATTATTCTATTAGCTGTTTCTTAATCTTTACAAAGGCATCATGGAAAGAAAATGTTCTTGCTGCCCTCTCTTCCATGAGAAGCACCATTGTCTTCACAGTTTGTCTGTTTGCAAGCTGAGGACTTACACAGGGCATTTTTTACATTTTTTCATCTACGTTGGTTTTATAAGTTTAAATAAGTTCCCATCTGCCAAGAGCTTCCAAAGAGCATTGGCACTTCACCAATACAAGAAGCTCGCCGTGAAGATTATACACCAGTTGTGCTTA